ATGCGAACAACTAGAAAAAGATGGGTCTGAAATGGAAGCGGAGGAATAAAGTACTAAATTGAGGAAATGACATCGAGAGATGGACGGATAGATAATTCCAAATCGGAAGAAGAGACCGTTAAGGGACGGAGAGGCCCTCGAAATTCTTCACTCTGTTTGTTTAAGATATTAAGAAGACATTTTCTGGGGCAGTGCAGACACTGCCAAATGTTATTATATAAAACACAGGTTGAATGGGTGTTACAATGTTGTTCGGTCCGCGTTTACTGAGATCTCTACCAATACATTGACTACAGCTCCCTCATGCTTTTACCCGACCACCTAGCAGAGTTGGTAAAACAACTACTTACTCCTTTTGTGTAGTTGGTAGTAGGTATCATGGTTTGTATTCGAGCAATTCTAATTCCCCCCGAGCACCACGTTCTGGTTTAATGGCAAAGGTGACTGGTTATAGTAGGATCATCTCCTAGTGGGTTGCGTGTTGTTCAAGCCCTATGAAATCCCCTCCCCCATTTTCCCTTACACCTAAAATATGTACTAATTGTCCTCTTTCAAAAAAAAAAAAAAAACTCATTCGCCTTGCGCCTTGGGGAGGTATATAGTTAATGAAATTGCCTATTTTGTATATGTTGAAAACTTGAAATGTAGCTTGAAGAACCCAGCCTAATCCGAAATTGAGAGCTGCTACCTTAAAAGACACAGACCGTGAGACATGCAAGGCATGAGCCCAATATTATCCACCCAGCTCAGCCTGTGGACCGAGATGAAGACAATAGGGCCAAAAGTTCCATTCATTTGGTGGGCTTCCAACTCATCTTATAATGAACCATCTCTACAGTTAGGAATCACTTCGATGATCTCCAGAAAAAGAATGGGAAAATTTGAACATAGCAAGCTTAGCAATACCATCACACACAATCATTAAAACAAATCAATGAAACATAAAATAAAGGTCTCTACTGTTTACATTAGGCTGAGCATACATATGTAGAATACAACAATTAAGAAAACGGTGAAAACAGGCTTTATTCCAAATACAAACTCGCTCAATTATAATTGATAAATGGGAGAGAGATCAAGTCCAAGATAAACAACTTATCACAATGCTTCACACTTAATAATTATTGCAACACCTGCTCGAGGATAGATGAATGATGCCTATAAACTCATGTCTCATGCACTCTATTCTGCTCTGGATTGGCCAGCCCTTGAGGAGAGGATGATTCCAACAATGAGTCCGTACAAAGCCAACGCCTCAGCAAAGATGAGAATAAGAATCATTCCGACAAAGAGCTTTGGTTGCTGTGCATTTGCCCTTAAATAATTTCAAATCAAATTTCAGAAAAACAGAAATGAAATAAATATGGTAAGAATCTAGGAACACAGCGTTATTCTGAAGAACTAATTGTGTGAAGAACATCAGCACTCAAGTAAAAACTGGGAAGCAACTGAGTAGTGCATTATATACATGAAACAACTACGCAGAAAGCAAGACATCAGATTCATGCAGCACGTTCTAGACTAGGTAAGACAATAAAGAGTTTGTCTTTCTCTTAAACTTTAACTGCAATTCTGAAAAGAGCACAATCACGTCAGAAGCACATATAAATTAGATAAATGCAACTATCCTGCCACAAAACCGAGCTGCATCTTACAAATCTACTATCTTCCTCATGCTTAAAGCATGAGTATATAACTGCCAAAAGGCATATAGCCATAATGTAATATATCCCGTTTAAGAATATTCAGCCGAAGGAGCATTTATATATGGCTTGATTATTAGACTATGCTAAGAGTATCTCAATTTATGCCACACATATTTTTTAACACGAGTATGGAAATTTAAAGCATTGCAATATAATGAAAAACAAAAGAATAGGTAAATCAGGGCAAGTTTAAGTCTTTAAGAAATGACAAGGTCCATTCAAATCAAAATATGGATCAAAACCATGAATTTTGACCCTCCAGACATCTAACGTTCCTAATGGCTACGCCAGATTAATTCTTTTCCCCTAAACCCTTGCTTACGCTTAATGCCTTAAAACAGAATTCGTCAAAAAAGTGCGAAGAAAGATTCAATTATCCAAAAGAGAACAAAACAGAAACAGGGGAAATCAATGACCCAGTTTGGCGCAATCACTTAACTTTAACAGCATGTATAAATTAAAACACAAAACTTGGCGAATATGAAAATTGGACTTTGAGCAGAAAGAAATACCTAACACCAGCGTCACCCACGATTCCAATCGCCATGCCGGCAGAAAGACCAGCGAGACCACAAGCAAGACCGGAGGAGAGGTGAGCATAGCCGTCAAAGAGATAATAGGATTTGGCCTTAGGGTTAATACCAGTGCTTATAATAACCGCAATAATCAATCCATAGATACCTAAAACTCCAGCCATAACAACGGGCACGATTGATTTCATCACCAGCTCCGGCCGCATCACTCCCATTGATGCCACCCCAACTCCGCTCTTCGCTGTACCATACGCCGCTCCCATGCCTGAGAAAAAAACAAACCCCAAATTAAAAAATGATCGAATCAATTTTTGGTAGTAATTCACAGAGGAGGATGACAGGCAGCTAGGGTTTGGTTACAGGAGAAAACGAGGGCAGCTGCAGCGCCAAGGAAGCCGAAGAAAGGAGCAGTTTCATCGCCGCTGAATGCAGATGACATTTTTTTCTGCCGCGGATTTGTAGAAATTCCGAAATTTTGGTCGGAGAATTCTTCAGTGCAGAGAGACAGCGAAGGGGTAGACCGAACGAGAGAAGAATCGAGGAAATTTCGTTCTGTGCCAACCAATATAGTGAAAGTGAAATGTTTATTGGGCCTAACTTGGGCTTAAGAAATCATTTCTCACG